TGCTAAACGACTCGACTGTATACCTCAGCGCCCGATAGAATATAAATTCTATTAGGTGTAAAGTATTCAAAAGAACTCTTTTAAGTTGATCAAAAGTAGGAAGATCTCCCAAGGAACTCCCAAGCTCTTCAATTAGAATTATCCAGTTTTCAGTAACTTTGCAATGCAAGATGCGAGATCTATATCCAGATTTTTTATTGACTCCTATCCGATAGTGTACTCAAGTTTTTTAATATCTGTTGCGAATTCTCCATTTGCCAAGAATCTTTTATTATTGTACATGAAAACATTGGTATTTTGACTCCCGGCAACTTAAAATTTTTCTGTGTTGCTACATCCAGGCCCGACCTACAACATTTTTTTACTTGAATCATCGTTTCTTGTTAAACTGTCATACACCGAGCGGTCACCGGTGACCGCAACCTATTGTTCTTTAATTGTGTCTATAATGACGGGACTCGACGAGTTAATTATTTTAGAGTGCTTTTAAATTGTACATTATAATATAAATCTTCGACTTCCTCATAAAAAACAATCTTGTCGTACTTAGAACTCTCTAATTCGGATTTCTTAACTTCGCTTATTATTTTCACATGAGTATTATAGAAAAGTTTGCTTTGTTGTTCTTAATTTTCTAATCTTGTTTCAATATAAGATACTATGATCCCGTTACCGCTCCAAACAGATTGATCAGTCTAAAGCCGTATTAAAAAATGTCAGTATTTTACTTAAAGCAACTGCCATGTGCTCTTCACAAATCACAATCACTACTTTAACCCCTGGTATTCCGGAACGTACGACAAAGTATTTTTACGTGTTTCTTACACAGGCACTCAAGAGGTTAAAGGTACATGGTAACTGTTATAGTTACATTGAAAAAGAGTAACCGAGTAGTTTCTTGTTTGTTTCTCTCCGTAAAATACTTCACTTTAGATTGACTGACGGACTGACTGAAATATGTATAAAACAAATTCTACATACACGACACACAAACAATGATTACAAGTTATAATCCGTTGTCTTTATTTTACTACCCAAACTTCATATGCAATTTGTATACAGTGAAAATAATAAAAGTATGGAATTAGTATTGCTTTAATCGTTACTGCGATATTTAATGACACAGCTAAATTAATGCAATTGCTACATACCATCTTTGTCAGTATTGTTGCCCAAAGGGTTTTTGCATGTTTGTAAATGGAAAAATCTGTACCTCATGTAACACCAATTGTACACATGATATGCAATAAAAGAATTTGAATTTGAATTTGAATTTGAATCTTTTCATATTTCTATATAGTTTTCAATTGTATCCTGTGCCTTGGGTGCGGTCACCATATTGAATATTTATTTTATTTTACTTGCCCCTACGCTAGGATCTTATCCTGTGTCTTGGGTGCGTTTATATCAAATTATTTTTTATATTAATTGCCCCAAACTAGGATTTAAGGTACCGTTACACATGTTCTAAAGTAGTATACTAAATGGCACTTTATTGACATATACAGTAATGCTAATTTTGAGCAACATTACGACATTTCGACTCACACGCTACTAAGCGACCAGAGCTCAAATAAAACGTATTTTCATGCTTGAAATTTCCATGTGTAACAGTTTCTTTAGTCCTGTGTCTTGGGTGCGTTTTAAATATTGAATATTTACAATTTATTAAATTATTTTTTATTTTACTTGCCCCACACACACTAGGATTTTCTACTGTGTCTTGGGTGCGCATTTAATTGATTCAACATTGCAAAATAGTGTTTAATTTTGCATGTTTCGAATTGATAGTTGTATCGATTCGGATAAATGTGTAGATTATAGTAGATTGTGTACTTCACTAGCTATATCCGCTACAATCCGGTCTATCTATAGCTCCTGCTTTGAATATTGTTTTTTAATATGGGGTTAATAATATATTTGATGATTTATTATTAGTATATTACTACTCACTAATATCTCTTGGTTCCTGTGGTTCCTAAGATGACATGGAGATTTGAAGACTTATTTCCAGGAAGATGGTTTTTGGAACGGTGCAGTGGTTTATAACATGGATGAAGAAAGCAATTTACAACTAGACTATACCAGGACGCTTGGATATCCTTAGTGAATAAAGACTTCGAAGATGATGAGATGATTATTTTTTTTTAATTTTCGGCTTGGGGTGGGGATTACGTTTTCGATAACCTCTCACACATGGCGAAACACAACGTAGACGTTGTTTCACGCCGCTTACCTCTAATGTCGTGGTATTACTTCGGTCAAGCTGCCCATTCGTACCGAAGCTATGCCACTGTTATTTTGGTTTGCTAAAGAGATAAACTGATTTTAGCTGTAGACTGATTCATTGCATATTAACGTTTCATTATGCAATTGTATCTGACGCTTGCCTTTGGAAGAAGTCCTTGTTTCCTGAGAACCTATTCCATCCATCCAACGTATACCACGTTGTAGGGGGTCTTATTCCAAGAGTAGCAGTAAGACTTTGGCTCCAATATGAATTAAAGGCGGAACTGGCTGGTAGGCAGTTGGGCATTATGTGAAGGGGGACACGGTACATCACCTCTAAACAATTGCTGTGTCTGCACCAAGCACCAGTTTAGTCCTGTATACTGTTCTCATCTTTGGGGTGGCTTACTTAAATACCAGCTAGGCGCATTAGAAAACTCCGTGAGGCGTGCAAAGAAGTTCATCAACAACTATGCGCATGTGGAGGCCCGTCTTCAAAGCCCGTGCGTGTGCAATGGGTTTGCACAACCTGATTGGTCCTTTCCATCATCGTGCCCGATGCTCTTAGCTTAAATCTGTGTGCGAACTACTAAGAAGTGGAATACTGTGCCAGAGTTTGTGCTTGTTTGCTGTCTGCCTGTGTCCCGATGGGTAAAACCTGAGCTTTTTTCAAGACTCAAGTGAATAGGATGCTTATAGGCATCTGTCTATCACATCTGTGCTCTCAGATCACATTTAAAAAAATCTTGGTGCTATTAGTTTCCAACTGTAGCGAAAAATGCTATCCTTCAGGCTAGCCGAGCTATCAAGGTATTAAGCATACCTAATGTTTAAAACCACAAAACAAATGTATCACTATCATCAGCTTAGGCTCAACAGAACTTTTTTCGGTCTCCTTGTCCGTGTTCTCCTAATATTGTTGATTAGGATGGCGCCATATTCTAATCAACAATTTTATATTTCTGTAAACACCTGATTATTCGGTGATGTATAATATGAAACTGTTGAAGGTTGTGTGAGTACATCGACCAGATATTTTGTACAATTTGTACATTTAAATGTACAGTAATACGGTCTTCAAGGTGTTTCAAGTTTAGGTACTTCAATATTGTCCTGTATATCGCTAATGCTGTGTTAACTGCTATCATCGTTGTGAATTAAGAAGAAAAAAAATAGTGACAAGCAAGTCTAGAAGAAGACGGCAATGTTTGAGCCTACATTAAACAGGTAATAATACGTTTTCCATTGCTAATGTCTATTACAAAAATTAATAAGAATAATAAACTTAATTTTTGTGGTGTAGGTATTGGAGATACTACTTCTACTAGACTGGTTACCGAAACATCGAGTATGACGGCGAGTAGGAGACCTATTCCTATACTGTTTTGGTGAAATCCGGCGAACGCGGCAGCATTGCAATGGCGGTGTTATGTTCATAAGGCCTAAGGAATGTGAGTTAAAAAAGGTGAGGTTCTCAGCAAAATCGTGATCAGTCGATGTGAAAAACACGAGAGTACCAGAGGATGAATTTGTAACTACACTAATTTTTTTAATAATATTTTTTATGAAGGAGTGTTCCAGCCACAAGATGTCGACCACGGCAACTGCTTCAACTTCAAAATTACGATTTAAGGTATTGTAGACATTGTGTTTTCTTTTTTAATTTGGCAATAGAATAATAAACTTTAGAGAGGTAATTGCTTACCACTGGACGCATCAAAAGTAGTTTAATTCTTGTCAACTTTTACTATTATATGATTATAATAGTAAAAGTTGTTAGTCTGCAAACGTCCATTGCTGAACAAAAATCTCTCTCCTAGTTCGGACTGGGTTTATTTAAAGGTGGTGGGATATATTTGCCAATATTAAACAGGAACCAAGTACATGTACTTGTTTTCTAGAACACTACATTCATTGATAATTACAAAGATTTACATCACAGGGTATGGCGAATAACAACACACTGAAGCTCAACAAAAAGGATATATGTATTTTTCTTAAATAAAGTGCTACCACACTAAAACCGACTTTTATTTTGACTGGACAAATAAAGACTTACTAAATGAATACTGGTTTTATTTTCTCCTTTCTTGTGTTTTTGCTGATTAGCACTAAAGAGAGAAACCGTTTAAAAACCCTTCCTTACCTTACCGTTACAATATACATAATTAAAATGAATTATCAAGCTACATAGCTTGATAATTGAAGGTTAATACAGACATATACAGCACAGTATAGTATACAGTATACAGATGTATTAACCTTGTTACATAATTTAAGTGGTTGATCAACCTGTAGTCCTATGTTTTGGTTGTTGTCTCTATGGTTTTTGGGTAAAAAGTGAAATAAGTCTTGTATTCTGACATATTAAAGCTATCATTCTTCAAATAGGGATGGTGTTAAACCGGTGTAGCCCCATCTTTATCGTTGAAGCGATGATAGACTTCATACGTCAACACATACAGACTTATTCCACGTGTTAAACTCCTAACTCTATGTATTAACTAACGGTTTAATGAAATATCGATTGAGTGTCGATGAAAGGACGAACTTTTACTTATTCTCCGTTAACAGAATAATTAAACTGTTCAAATTACATCAAATTATGGATATGGAGATCAGTTACCCTTATATTCCTAGGAGAGAATGTAAGGTTAATTGACCCACATGGTTTGATGTCTATGTTCTTCCTATCTACACTCAATTCATATAATTAAACTGTTTAGGTAATACCTAGAGTTGGGTAAAAGGTAACAAGGTGAGTTTTTTAGGTACCAGCAGTGGAGCCTGGAGCAGGAGTCTTCAGAAAGCGAGCTGATTGCGATCCCGGAGACTAGTGACAAGTCGGATACCACTGTTCATGGCAGTACTGCACCGGTAAGATGACCTTTATTTCTTTCTTGCTCTTTTTAGTCATGTTTCTTACCCATATATTTTCTTAAGTAACCTTTTTAATCGTGGTACTTAAGTATTAGGTATCAGATGGTTAAATTGTAATATTAGTTATAATTAGTGATGGCCGATCCATCAGCCGTAGCGTTAAGTGTTGATCAAGAATATCTTTATTTGCCTCAGATGAAATTGCTATAGGTACTTAATCTTTTTTTTTTTGACAGAGTGGTTGTTGTCGTCTTATGTCGTCTCGGCATTACCGATGTTATATTTTGAACTGTTCCTTTTAACTGGCATGAAGTGTGATCAAAATATCCTAAAAATTAAGAGAATTTAAATATAAAAAAGTAACTGTTCTTTTTCTGACTTGTTACAATATTCCAGGGTTCATTCGACGAGCCGTCCCACTACGAGGACCCCCCAAAGGTAGAAACGCCCGCCACTACAACCGCTTACCCGCCGCTCAGTAAAATCGTAAGAATTAGAATATTTCATATTGTTTTGCATGACTTTTTGTTATTTATTACTAGGTTTAGATATATAGATAGTGGCTCAAAGCTTTGCATAGAAATCATGATGTAACGAAGATTAGTTTAATTTGTGGGTCATGTCCAATTAGGTAGTATGTAATTCTATTAGTGAAAGATTCATAAATTAGGTAAGATATTCATGTGGCAAGATATTTCATTACGTTGTTCTTCGATAAGTTTCGAGCTCGATTGGAGCCCTTATTCATGAAATCACATATAATATACGCAGATACATAATTTTTAAAAAGTTTTTTTTAGTTTGACTGTCGAATAATAATAATAATTATTATTATTGTGAATGAACCAAAGTTTTATTATTATTATTTTCTCTTCTTGAGACGATATCGCTTTTATATCTATATAGCCAACCCTGGGCTCCCGTTCAGCACATCAACTGTCGACCAGCTCATCAGTCTCCATCGGCAGCGACTCTTCGAACCTGTAAGTAAACTACCACCGTAAATCTTGTCCTGGGTCACTAATGTTTGAACTTGTGTACTTACTTGTGGACTACAAGTCGTACATAGCTTCAAACATTTGTTACTACAGTGTCACAACCACAGAAATTGTTAAATTATAATTGATGTAATGAAGGCTACTATTTTTTGCTCAACAGATGTCGCTTATGTATCGTGCGGTCAGTTTGTTCATTACAGATAATTATTAATATTCCGTAGAAGTCCACTGCTGGACTATATAGCCTTCTTCTACGAAAGAAGGGTTTAATAATTATGTTTTCGGCTTATGTAACTGTTTGACGAAGAACTCGACTAGTTTCAAGCCATGCTAGAGGCTCATATTCAAGAGCAGCATTTCGCGATGACGACATTGTCGCGCTGCTCTCTCTTATGGCTCCCGTGGGAAGATAAGGGTGAGAAATGTATTTTACTCTCCTGTCACCACATAACTATACATAGGTAGAGAATTAACTAGTATCAAACCATTTGAAATTCAGTTTTTGACAGTTGATGAGCAGAAAATCGGTAGCCCTTGTCGACTGGTTTTATCACCTGGAGAATGTTTTTGATTTGTTTTTAATATAGAAAGTCAACGCCTATGAGCGGTCAGTCAGTGGAAATCTGGCCCGATCAGATACATCAGCAGACGTCACCACGTGCCAAGATATTGGGTAAACAGAAGAGAATTATTGGTATGTCATCATTTTAATTATAATAAGAAATACATTATAATATGGAAGACTTACGAAATAACTCTTGTGAGACGGTTTACAAGGCAACTCAACTAGTTTCGAGCCATGCTAGGGAGTCATAGTCATGAGCAGCCCAGTAAACAATACGGATGTTAGATCACGCTGTCCACGGACAACACTGTATATTGTTTTTGTAAAGGTTTTAAAGTGACCTTGAGATTTTTTTAATGTGTCTCAGTGGGCAGTAGTACGTCTCCGGACACGGCACCGTCTTCTAATGGAGACGGTCAGTTCGGACAGTGGCCACATGCACGCTCTCCTCCACAGCATCACATCAAAAGTCCAGGTAAGACCTGAGGAAAATTGGACCTTATTGTTCAAAATTGAGTTTTTTTGTGTAAAAGATCCAACAGTCAACTATTTGTGTGTATAATTTTATTGGACATCACGTTTGATTGTAAAGAATGTAACTTTTAATAAATAAATAAATAAAAATTAATAATGTCGCCAGAATTTAGCTTAACTAAACAGTGACCGAACTGTCAATTTTTTTTCATTGATTTTCCCACTATATACTAAAAGAATAAAGTTAAGAATCTATCAACGAACTGAAGACCGACTGACGACTGACCTGCTGACGATAGTACGTTGGTGTTCGAAATTATACCTTATTTGTTTGTAGCTAAGAACGTTGGGTATGCGTACGCGTCGCCGGAGTCTCCTCTATCCAAGATGGAGGTGGCATGGAATGCTCCCCCTCCTACAATGCAACAACATTCACACCAGCCCTTCCATATACCACCACCTGAACGGTGAGTACAAGCAATCATACATTTATCACAAATTAATGATTATTATACTCGAATTTGCTATCAGAGGTTAGTACTTCTAGTGAAAGAGATATGTAATTTGTTTATTTTTATTAATAAGGTATTGATATCGCACCATTGAACTTGCCACTGGTAGGAGCAAGCATAGAATCTTATACTCTATTGGCACCATCTAGTGAGATCAAAATTGATTTCATTACCTTCTTTTGTCAATAATGACAACTTGAATCCGATGTTTTTTTTTGTGAGAATATCTCTACGTAATATATTTTCTACAGGTTGCTACCAATCGGTCCCAAGCCCAACAAGGAGCAGTATCCAGTTTTCAATGCCCTTGTGGACCGAGTCAGAGAGGCATTGAGTTTGCCACCAGGTAGGGGTCAATTTCATTTATTAACTTTTATATCAGAATCATTACGAATACATATCATAATCAACAGAAGCGTCACGTACATATTTATTATGTATTTTGTTTAATTTAAGGAGATATTCTAATATCGAGACAATTCTGGCAAAATATACTTGCTTGCTTAATATATTCGCTGTTTCTAGATGATTCAACAGACAACACTGGATCCTCTCGGTCTGACGGCGACGCTACTCCCACGCCCAATCCCACCAGCAGGCCCCACGACTTGAATAAGAAATCTTCTGAAAGTACTAGGTTAGTAATTCTTTAACTTGAGTGTGCTGTAAATGCTATTCATTAAAAGTTATGGTAAGCATATCAATCTACGTCAATCTGTCATTTCAATAGATTTTAGACTAATATTAAAGAACATTAAAGTTTGGTACCTATTTGGATTTAGTTTTTCATACAATAATGTAGCAAATATAAAAGATGCATATATATGTTGTTTTCTACAGGTCACCGCGTCGGTTAGCGAGGCAAGTGGCGCAAACTGGATCGCCGCCACACCAACACACCACTGGTAGTAATTGTTATAGTATCACAGTGTGGATTGTTCTGTATTTTTTTAAAACATCATAATATGTGAGTGTGGCAGACTGTGGCGGCTGTGGCGGCTGCGGCGGCTGGTGGGAGGGGGAGTCCCGCGCCGGGAAGCGAGCTGCGCATGCGCACGCCGCGCCGCATCGACCTGAGCATGAACTCTGCTACCGCTGTACGTATATACCGTAATTTTGATATGACCAATTTTGTTGTCACAATTTTATGTTATATACTACCTCACTAGGCAAGTCTTAAGTTGGTATTGTATGGTAATATAGGCGCGGAGTGCGGCACGGCGGTGGAGCAGTACAGCGACGAGGAGCTGGGCCTGTGCATCATAGTGCTGGCCACCTTCGTCCACAGGGAGCCGGCCGCCGCCGCCGCCATGCTGCCTGCGCTGCTGCATAATGTCAGCAGGTAATGACTCAAAACTCTATTTACAGTCTTCATTTTTTATGATGTAGAGGGCAAACAAACAGACATGTCTGGAGTTTAGGCGCCATTAAAACTCATAATAGATGTAATAGAAACATTTCAATACAAAAGTTTAGGCGGGTTGGAAAATTAAATGGTATAGGATAGGAGTATAGGATTTAAGATGTTGTTGTAAAAATAAAATGAGAGCTGTAACCGGCGACAACAGTTTGTTCCACAATTTTGTTATCATCGACAATTCATTGCTGATAAGCGAGATAGGCCAGAAACTCAGGCTATATCAGGCTAATCGCTATCTAACCAATTAATATCTTAATTCCGCTTAAACTCTTCCCGATTTATTCTTCATATTTTATAGATATTGTCCTTTCAATGCACTTTTTCAAATTTACGGTTTCTTTTATAACGTTACCTCGTTTAGCCCTCTGATTGGTGTGTCAATTGTGTGAAGTGTCGGAGCGCCATGGGTCGGCTCGACCGGAGTGATACCACGGCCTTACGAAAAACCGACGTGAAGCAACGCTTGCGTTGTTTCGTCGTGTGAGTGAGGTTACCTGAGGCTCAATTGCCCTCCCCTTCCCCAATCTCCTCAATTCCTGAATCCCCAACGATCCTCAAACTCCTATCACCAAAAGGCCGGTAACGCACTTGTAACGCCTCTGGTGTTCTTGGTGTTCTAGGTGTCCATGGGCGACGCTGATTGCTTACCATCACGTGATCCGTCTGCTCGTTTACCGGCTTATGCCATAATAAAAAAATTGCACTTTACCAATCTGACCGCCGATCGTCATTAATGGGTCGATGGCTTTAACAAACTCGCAGTAGATAGGTACGCAGATCCCCTAAGTTCAATATTGATACATAACATGATACGTCGCCAGAGTGGTCCAGCTGGGCAACTACTCGTGGCAGGCGGAGACCAACACGCGCCTGCCCGGCAGCGCGGTGTTCGTGGCGCACCAGTTCCTGCGCTGCGTGCTGCACCAGCTCGCGCCCAACAACGTCTTCCTGCAGATCTTCCTGCAACGGACGCCAGGTAGACCGCACCACCCACATTGTCATATTAATATGGTTACTGCTGAACATTGTCATCTTCAGTTTAATGTGTGCCTCCTTCAATCCTTTCTTCTCATCGTCAACTTGTTACTATTCCACTGCAAAGAAAAATTTCTTCTCACACAGAGAAGGAATGAGCAATCTCCAAGCTTGCTCAAGGCGTATACATACATAAGTCTTTCAAATAACGCCATCTTCATTATTAATTACTATGTAATAAAATATATGTTAGTGCCACTGATAGAATAACTTTACTAGCATGAAAGAAAGAAAGAAAAAACATTTATGCAGCACCACGCACGATGCAGCATAAAAAAATGTAAAAAAGACAATAAAGGTGTGACAGTGGAAGTAACAAAAACATTGAGTTGAAAAATTAAAACAGTAATTAAAACACATGATACTTATTAATATTCATCTGTCCCGTCATATGATTATGATGTACAATCTCTTGTACCATCATCAGATCTAGGTTAATACTTGTATTTGTGACATTATTGAACATTCCACACAGAGAAACAAAGGCAAATGTTCTTCAAGAGCATAGCGCAGGCGTTTGTGGACTTCAACGAGCTGTATCCGTGTGGACCGCTACAACTGGTTGTCGAACATCTTAATTCTAAGAAGACTTTACCTGTCGATGTAAGTTTTAAGTTGATTATTTAAAAAGTTACTTACTGTACTATTAGGAATATTATTTTACTTTGTCTTGTTTTAATGTTTTTATGGTCGACATGAAGTCTTACCTTTAATTCAGTCAATTCTGTCATATTTATGAGCGGAGCTAGGTTAATGAGAGATTGATTACAAAATTCAATGTATGGGATTTACGTACATTGATTTAATGAGTCGAAATTTACATTGAGGTTTAAAGGAGTTTTTATTCCTTCGGCCGGCTGATGCTATTTGATCCATGACACTCAATTCTTTGCCCACCGGTACTCCTATTGTTCTTGTTTTGACATAGTCTCCAAGACAGTACAAACAATACAATACTCTCCAGCAAATGGGCGTGATAGCGGGCAACATAGCGATGTACCTGGAGTGCCTGGCCCCGGAGGCGCTGGGCCCGCTGGGCGCGTGCGCCGCGCTCGTGGCCGCGCTCGACGCACTGCTGCGCGGCGCCGCACTACTGCTGCACCAGCTCGACGACGTCCTGCCGCTACTGCGCGCCGCCACCGCCGCGCTGCGCGTGCCCGCCGCCGCGCAGCACAAGGTACTCCACTAACTGATACCTCCCACTACTGCTGCACCAGCTCGACGACGTCCTGCCGCTACTGCGCGCCGCCACCGCCGCGCTGCGCGTGCCCGCCGCCGCGCAGCACAAGGTACTCCACTAACTGATACCTCCCACTACTGCTGCACCAGCTCGACGACGTCCTGCCGCTACTGCGCGCCGCCACCGCCGCGCTGCGCGTGCCCGCCGCCGCGCAGCACAAGGTACTCCACTAACTGATACCTCCCACTACTGCTGCACCAGCTCGACGACGTCCTGCCGCTACTGCGCGCCGCCACCGCCGCGCTGCGCGTGCCCGCCGCCGCGCAGCACAAGGTACTCCACTAACTGATACCTCCCACTACTGCTGCACCAGCTCGACGACGTCCTGCCGCTACTGCGCGCCGCCACCGCCGCGCTGCGCGTGCCCGCCGCCGCGCAGCACAAGGTACTCCACTAACTGATACCTCCCACTACTGCTGCACCAGCTCGACGACGTCCTGCCGCTACTGCGCGCCGCCACCGCCGCGCTGCGCGTGCCCGCCGCCGCGCAGCACAAGGTACTCCACTAACTGATACCTCCCACTACTGCTGCACCAGCTCGACGACGTCCTGCCGCTACTGCGCGCCGCCACCGCCGCGCTGCGCGTGCCCGCCGCCGCGCAGCACAAGGTACTCCACTAACTGATACCTCCCACTACTGCTGCACCAGCTCGACGACGTCCTGCCGCTGCTGTACCTTGGACCCTGAAACCATATCTTTACTGAAATTTACTTAACATAGGAATGCATTGCAATGCAACCTAAATTGTATGTTTGTTAATTGCCGCTTATAGATTCATAAAAACCACGATGTCACCTATCTTAACTTAGGAGTTCCTTAAAATCTAAAAGTAATTGCGGAAAGCGGAAAAAAATAATTACCTCAGGAAAAAATCTAATGCTCCTTCAAACCGCACCAAGAGTGGCAAATAATGAAGTAATCTACTCCCTTCGAAAAAAGAAATAGTTAAATATGTCTCCGGTATCATAAAGGCGTTTACAACATGTTTTCCATAAAATTTACTCAAACCCGGAACAACATTATGTAGATCACACGAAGATTTGTTACGTTCGAGAATTACACTCGGCTTGGATTACATGAAGAGACGATCTATGCGACAATCAGATCTGTATCAGATCCCACTACAACCCCTCGTCCAGCCATTATTGCAGCACTTCACCGTAAAGTAGTGTAAGCTGATTAATCGCCCACTGTCATGCATGCGTACGGATGCAAGAGGGGGTTTAATCAACTTGGACTGCTTTATATACGTCAAAGCCTCCAAGCCGATCCCACTACCATCGACCAAGCAACGTCCCAACTGCGAACTTGGAGCCGTCTTAACATGAAGATCCTTATCCAGCAACGAACGTTTTCCGGCTGATGATGATAAGAAATATCATAACATTGTTCTATGCAACAACAACAAAAACACAAAACGCTCGTTGCAAAACAAAACAGAGATCAGATGAAGAAGAACGAACAAAATGTATGAATATAACAACTGAAAATTTGAAAACTTTAATAGACTAGTTTTATGGAAGGATATCTCCAGTGCAACCTACATTACAACGGTTACGACAGTGACTTGACCGCGTAAATTATTATTTATGTTTCTCTGTTCTTCTGTGTGTATGTAAAATAAGAAGACCAGTTAAATAGGTAAAGCACAAAAATGAAAAAACAATCAAACTTTCTCATAATTTTATTGTAATGTTAATTTTGATACAACTGTTGTACTTACCAGGCTCTCCAAAATAATCACATTTTCCCTTTTCAGAGTATCCTGGAACCAATAACCAAGATCATAAGCTATGGAGTACAAAACTTCGTGCTGAAACTATCAGTGATCTCAGAACTGAGCGTCGTATGTACGCGAGTGTTCAGTCGCGACAGAGACAAGCTACTGGTCTGCAGGGTACTGGTGTATGAGCTCGTGCAGGCACTCAGGACCAAGACTACTATACCTGATGATAACCTGTTTATACTTATACAATTTGTGCTGCAAGGTAAGTGAATTTATAGCTATTGCTTTATAATTGAATATCATTTGAATCAATATTCTCATCCAGCAGGATGAGTATAATTGTTAAATTTCTTCAACATATTAACGAAATTATTACAAAACATAAAGTTGATATCAATTTTTGGAGCACAACACAAATTAATTATGTCTTAACGGCTTACTCACGTAACTATTGGACGACAACTCGACTAGTTTCAAGCCGCGCTTAGGCTTCATATTCACAAGCCACAAGCATTTACAAGCAGCATTGTGCGATAAATGACATGATAAGCCAATTACAACCAGAAGCAGACATTTATTAATAACATAATCTAACCCACGCTACCTTCCTTCCAAGGCCATGGCTGCCGCCTAGTCCTCCCTCCCCAGCTGTCAGGCGGGGAACTTGCCAGCACTTGTATGGACGCGCGGGAGATAGCGGCCGGGGCCGTGGACTGTATGAGACCACATCTACCTGATATGATAGACCTGCTGCAGGACCCGCATCTGCTGAATAAGATCAAGGTAAGTTATGTGGTATAAAGGAGGTCTTCTTTTGGAGAGAAGGTTCATAGTGACAAATTTCTGTTGTATAGAAGAACTCCATAATGAAACTCTGGCGTAGATAAGGTTACCCCTCTTCTGTAGAGGCCCGTAGTGACAACCTCCTCTTGGGTAGAGGAAGTCCATAGTGGCAAAACCCTCTTGTGTAGAGAAAGTTCATGATTTGGTAGAATATATAGTAGCCAGCTACTCACTATGGTAGTGATATCACATTCAAGCGTCAATTTTCTTCAACAGGGTTCAGTCTCCAAGTCAATCGTGAACCGCAACTTAATCTGTCTGAATGAAGACACATTAGGCGCTATAGTGAAGGGTGGTATCGCTCAGTACGTGGCGATGGAACTGGCACTGGAACACAGTCGCGGACGACAGGACCGTGCGCAACCTGCCAGGCATATGACGCCTTGGATTAGTACCTCGCTGCCTGGGTAAGTGACGATTGTTTTCGAATTTTAGCATTTGAACAACTGTTTAAACTGTTTAATTTTTTTAAGGTAAATGCAGGTTTCTATTGACCAAATTAGTGACTCAAAACAAAATTTGATACTTATTTACTTGCTATTTTAAAAGGAATGATATTTCTGCCAGTATTAGTATTAATAAATATTTATTGGTACAACAATTAAAAATTAATATCACTTAATTTATTTATTTATTTATAATTCATGGAGGACTTACAGCTTATAAAAATGGATAAAAATAACAATAGGCGTAGGTAACAATGAGCCAATAACAAGTCCTCACGTTTATGATTTGGAATAAATTAATTAATATGGTGTAAGTACTATACAATATTAAAAATACATACATTCTGCATAAATGAAAAAAATAAATATTGAAACAGACCGTACAGACAATATGATTATAAACAGATCAAGAGAAATGATAAAAAAAACTAAATATCTAGTGCTGCTTAAAAAATTTGAGGCTTAAGCACCTCTTTGCCGAGTTCACACTAGTTGTAAACGGATCGAAGTCATATTCCTTACAAACATTGTTAAAGTGTCTGCTTGCACGCACAATGTAACTGTTCTGCCTGTAGTTAGATGAGGAACGGGATACGTGTAAAGGTGGATTAAATCTAAATATTTTATTAGGTACATTAAATTTGATTTTTGATAATAGTTCTGGACTATCTACATTGCCATTAAGAACCTTAAACAAGAATAGACAATCTGCAATATTGCGTCTATCTACCAATGGTAATAGATGGAATTTTCTACAGAGTTCAAGATAACGGGCAGACTGGTATGGTATATTTTGGTGAAAGCAGAGATATTTTATAAAACGTTTTGAATGTTTTCCACGCGGTCAATATATTTCTGATATCTTGGATTCCATACCTGAGACGCATACTCCAGCTGGCTCCTGACATAAGTGCAATATAGTATTTTAAGGGTCTTTGCATCGGTGAAGTTTTTTTAAAGGCGCATTATAAGTCCAAGCAGTTTATAGGCTTTTTTGACGATTGCATCAATATGTGTATCGAAACCAATTTGCTGTCTTGATGGACCCCTAAGTCACGGATAGTAGTGCATCTTGGTAAGGACAGACCCGCTAAAGTATAATTAGTGACATGGACAGTGCGCTTTCTAGTGTAAGTGACTACGGAACACTTAGATGGGTTGAGATCCAGTTTATTTATCCGACAATACTCTTCAAGCCGATGCAAATCCGCCTGGAGTGCCAGACCATCGTCAGGAGTTGAGATAGTAGCTGACAGTTTCATGTCATCAGCAAAACATAAAAGTTTGGATGTATGAAAGCACTTGTTGATGTCGTTTACATAGATCACGAATAGAAAAGGACCGAGCAACGATCCCTGAGGTATTCCGCTGGGTACATTTACCCAGCTAGAAATGTAGTTATTGAGTACTACTGCTTGTGACCTATTGTCGATGTATGAAGCGAACCACCTCAAGAGGTCGCCGCTGATGCCTGTGTCAATAAGCTTCTGTAACAGGATATCGTGGTCAATCCGGTCAAACGCCTTGCTGTAATCTGTGTAAACCACATCAACCTGCTTACCTTTATCCATAGCATCCGTGACAGAGTCATTAAAAAGAATTAGGTTGGAAATAGTAGACCTCCCTCTCAAAAATCCGTGTTGAAAGGAGGTAAATGAATTGGCCAAGGCGGAGTATAACTGCTTGTAGACAATCCTCTCAAATATCTTAGCTATAATGCACAATTTGGAGATAGGCCTATAATTAGTGATCTCGGTTCTTGACCCCTTCTTATAAACCGGCGTAATAAAGGCGGCTTTCCATATTTTGGGGACTAAACCTTGAGTCAGCGATTAAGAAAACAGAATGGAGATAGGTATGGCAATGGAAGGTGCGCATTTTATAAGCAATTTAGACGATATTTCATCAGGGCCAGCACCCTTCGCTGGGTCCAGATTACGTACTAAAGCGGCTACTTCATCCGCCTCAATGCTAATGTGGTAAATGTCAGATAAATTACCGATAACAGTCGAGGTGGCGTCCGGGACTCGTGAGGAACTATCAGACGAAGTGCGACAGAGGAAGGAGGACATGAAATAAGAAGAAAAAGCCTCGCAGATAGAATCCCCAGTAACTAACGTGTTACCATTGTAGTTCAATGTATTAGGTACGGTATTAGAGTTATGGCGATTTTTAAAAACCCTCCAGAAGTGTGTAGGGTTAGTTTTAATGGAATTTTCAGTATGTGTCAGATATGATTTGTAACATAGATCCTTCATAGTCTTAACTCTATCACGTAAACATTTGAAAGTTATCTCGTCTGATTTATTACCATATATCTTAAATTTTCTTAAGTATTTATATTTTTCTTTAATAGTTTTTACAAGTGACGAGCTGAATGGATATTTATTATTGCGTATTAACTTTTGTGGTATAAACTTCTTTTCTAATGATTTTATGGTACCAATAAAAAAATCAACTGCTTCATCAAGCGACCGAACCGAAAATTCAGCCTCCCAATTGATAGCAGCAATCTCTCCATTAATGGAATCAAAATCACCCCTACTGTAAATATACCGCAAACGCGCCGCATGGTCAAGGGGAGGTATTTCAAAGATATCAATATTAATTAATAATGCTGGATGATACGGGTCAATAGGTACTAGAGGATCAACACATTCACTAACACAGGCTAACTTATTTGAGAGGACTAAGTCCAAAAACTTGCCATACCCGTTAGCCACCCCATTAAACTGTACTAAGTCCATTGTAGATAGCTCATCAACAAATAAACATTCATCACTAGTGGTGGGATTTAACGGGGCCATAGAATGATCAGTGGAAGGTATCCACGTGATACTACTCATATTAAAATCTCCTAAGACTAAAAATACGTCGGTATTTGTTCTATGTAGAATTGCATTGTTTAATTTAATTTAGAAAGGTAGTTGCTAAGCTGTTGCGAGAACGATAACCCTTAATTTTGTTTACACAAATACACTGCACAAATATATAAGGTGTTCTATAATTTTATGCCACGGCTTTAATGGGAGGTAGTGTTATGTTTACAGATTACAATTGTGAAGAAATTTCGTACCCCGGACCAGTTAATTACATACAGTAATTAAGTAAACATTGACTACATTCTGCATAATGTGGTTCACAAATTACGCGCGATGCGTCGCTTAGTCAATGAAAACAATTGCTATCTCTTTCCACGTGTACTGAGAATGAAAACGGAAATCAGCTGACTAGTTCGTCACTATCTAATCTACTAGATACTCAATAGGCAGGCTAACAAGGGTTTTAAAAGTGCAATTACTTACCAGGTACGGCATTCTTCCGAAAAGCTGATGTAGGTAAATAAGATTATAAACTTCCCATCACACTTAAAACAGTTTTTTACACACTCTCTACCTACTTATCTACAAAACTGTTGCACAAGTCCACCTTCGCGTTGCACACAAATAAAGGCACGCTTCCAAACATGTCATATCACATTATTTAACGTGTCCGTTTCACTTTTACTTTGTTTCGCGTTTGACTCCACAAGTTATTGTCACTATCATCGTAAACTCCGGCGGTATCCCTTGTGCACGCAAGAAGATGACACCGAAAGAACTCTAACACTTCCTCTTCGAGTTCTGATTTGAATTTCGTCGCCTGGTAGTCATTTTTACGTAGCGCGCGCGTATCTCCGACATTAAAACTAACGTGCGGGCAAGCAGGGGTTGACGGGGCTACTGGCGGCCGGGCGGCGCGTGCGACGAGTTCTGCTGGGGTGTGTTGTCTCGTTCTTGAACGCCCCGTCATACGCTGTTGCCATCCTTATCAGACCGCTCGCGCCGGGCGGCTAAGAGCACGCTGCACACCCCCGCGCGCCCGCACCCTCTCCTGCACTCGTCGCACGCGCTGGTCAACCGGCCGCCGGGCAGGCGGGGGTTGAGCTACTGATAAGGATGGCAACAGCGTATGACGGGGCGTTCAAGAACGAGACAGCACACCCCAGCCAGCAGAACTCGTCGCACGCGCCGCCCGGCCGCCAGTAGCCCAGTCAACCCCCCTGCGCGGACGTTGTTAGTTTCAATGTCGGGGATACGCGCGCGCTACGTAAAAATGACTCCCAGGCGACGAAATTCTAATCAGAACTCGAAGAGGAAGTGTTAGAGTTCTTTCGGTGTCATCGTCTTGCGAGCACAAGGGATACTGCCGGAGTTTACGATGATAGAGACAATAACTTGTGGCGTCTTTTAAATCAAACGCGAAACATAGTAAAAGTGAAACGGACGCATTAAGTAATGTGATATGACATGTTTGGAAGCGTGCCTTCATTTGTGTGCAACGCGAAGGTGGACTTGTGCAACAGTTTTGTAGATAAGTAGGTAGAGAGTGTGTAAAAAACTGTTTTAAGTGTGATGGGAAGTTTATAATCTTATTTACCTACATCAGCTTTTCGGAAGAATGCCGTACCTGGTAAGTAATTGCACTTTTAAAACCCTTGTTAGCCTGCCTATTGAGTATCTAGTAGATTAGATAGTGACGAACTAGTCACCTGATTTCCGTTTTCATTCTCAGTACACGTGGAAAGAGATAGCAATTGTTTTCATTGACTAAGCGACGCATCGCGCGTAATTTGTGAACCACATTATGCAGAATGTAGTCAATGTTTACTTAATTACTGTATGTAATTAACTGGTCCGGGTACGAAATTTCTTCACAATTGTAATCTGTAAACATAACACTACCTCCCATTAAAGCCGTGGCATAAAATTATAGAACACCTTATATAAATTGACGTATTCTCGTGAACCTGAATTCTTTAGCTGCAATTTGATCCAGAGATCCTCCGCTGATGAATGCAAAAGTAATACTGAAGTGACTGACAATTCCCTGCGCGTTGCTTTAAGTACACCACCACCTCTCGTTTGGCGGTCATAACATAATCTCTGTCACGGCGCCATACCAAATAGCGACCATCAAATAGCTCCGAGTTTAGTACTCCATCCAATAACCACGTCTCCGTTATGATAATAACATCATAAGAACTCTGTAGAAGCTGACGGTAGAAGGAATTAGTTTTTGTTCGAAGTCCACGAACATTTTGATAGAATATTTTTAATGCACTGCTATTAACCATTGCATATTTTAATAACAATAATCGAGTAGTCAACAAAAGCAACATAGAATAGTCGTATTAGTAAATAATTATCGAGGCAATTAAAAGTTAAACATTCTAGAGTTAATAAATTATATTGCAGGTATAAGTAAATAAAAGTAAATGGAATTTTTATATAATCTAACATCGGGGCGAACATGATCACGAGAGCAAGCAAGCAATAGCGTACCATTCGCGTACGCGTGAGCGAGGCGGATATATAAAATGTATGCACCAGATCTCGTCTACAAGTATTGCGAAATGGAACGTCAAATTGAATCATTATCAATGCAGAGGTGCTAAACCTTTTACTCAAATTAAGTAAACTAAATTTCTTGTGACGACATCGACACTTTTTAAAAAAGTTAAAGAAACTCGGCAATTCAGAAACTAAATGTAAATAATAACTGACTAAATAATTTTGTTTAAATCGGATTCACGCCTGACTATGAAGGTTTTACAGTTGACATCCTTCCTTACATGAATTTTACCGTGCTTCACCCAGACGAATTCATATTGTTTTTCTTTGGCGGCAGTTTTAGCTCGATTTAAAAGTTTTTTATATTCTATACTAAGATGATCGTTGACATATATGTGATTTGGCGGCCCCTGAACACCTATGTCCTTGGTAGAAAGCTCCTTATTAGCACTTAAGTCAAACGAGTAGTTTTTTATTTATTGGTGTTTTTGTAGTTTGATCGGGATTTTTTCACCAAAACCGAAAATGTTGAATATCTCAGAAACTAGCCACTTTCGGACCATAGATCTCAGAGCTAATTTTGTAGGAAATTAGTTGTATTATCACCTCCCGAGAGGAATACGTCGAGTTACAAGTCGCCCTGTTTATTGGTTTCATTTTAAAGTGGGTCTATTTTTGCTTCTTCAAAGATTATTGTAACGGAATTAGCACCCTATTTTCCCCAAAAATGCTTGTAAACTTGTCACTTAGGTTTAATTCCTTTGCAGTCATACATTTTTGTGTTGGGGAAGGTTTGTTTAAATGTGGTATCACATTGCGCGCAGTTGCCGCGAGGTGTGCGAGTGCGTGTCCCGCGTGCGCGTGGTGTCGTGGCTGGTCATGGGCGCGCTGTGCAACGCGGCGCAGCCCGCGCCCGGCCCCGCGCACGGCCCCGCGCACGGGCCCGCGCACGCCCTGCAGCCCGTGCCGCAGGACGCCACGTGCCACATCACCGACTACATACAGGTTCCTTCTTCACATTTTCATTACTTCTTTTTCATTAATCAATTAAACCTAACCTCTGGTCAGAGTGTATACATCTTCGCAAGACAATGCGTTTTTTATTGTGTCTCATATATCGACTGACAAGAGGTTAATATGTCTTCTGTATCAGAATATCCACTCATAGTAACATCGTCATTTAAATAAAAGTATATTTCTGATCAAAATCTGTGCTATACATATCTGCTCATTATGTTTTCGGATATCAAAATTAATAAAATTTCAGCTCAGAATTTAAACACACTTCATAATTGTTCTTTTTTCATTAACATAAAAAATCTTCTTTCATAGAAACCACAAAAAAATCGCAATATACAATACTAAAACCACGACCTTCCCCCAGACAATAATGTCCTCCTACGTGGAGGCTGGTCGAGGCGGTGCAGGCGGGGCCCGCCTGGCCGGCCTGCTGCACGCCTTCGTGCTGTGCCAGCTGTGGACGCTGTACCTGGAACAACTGGCCTCAGCATCGCCACCTGCCAGCGAACCTCACTACACCACCACCTGTCTGCTGCTGGACTTCTGGTGCAAGCTGGTGCCCAGTATACTGCAGGTCACCGTGCAGTCTAAAGTGGTCAGTATATTGTACCTGTAGAACTTTATTGAAACCGAAGATTACTAATCACGTAGTTCATCAATCACAAAACTGGTAGTTTTTGAGCATGCTCGACTGGTTTCGAGGTACAGCCGGGGCTCATAATCATTAATAGTATATCTTGATTACGTCGCCTAGTTCTCTGATAACTATCACGTATTTGTTCTTCTGCTAACGATTGTCAATTTATTCTCAGCTGGCAGAGACGGTGAACCTCCACTTCCTAAGTCTACTGGAGTCTCTGCTCGAGTGTAACTCCACCGTACTGAATAAACTGCTGCCTCTATGGAGTCCCATACTACACTCACCATTGTTCAATGTAAGTTCTACTTCTATTTAATTTTTTCCGTCTCTTTTCCCCAAATTATTCTGCACTACATACAAACATATCAAAGTGTACGTCTTCGGGCTTAATGCAACATTTGTGGCTTGTGCTTTAAAGCTTTAGTCGATCGAGACAATAGAAAACTCGCCTTGCTAAATAGCCTTAACGGAAATTGGCTACTTGACAATTTCCGGGAAAATATTGTGAAGTTAACGTACTTTCATTCAAAACTTTTTTGTCAGAACAGTCTTATTTTAGAGGTATAAAGAAAATAATTATTTTTTATTTGTTGATTTGTCATTCGCGCTTAAAAACTCGTTCACGTGAGCTCTCCGAGCTATGACGTCATATTGTAATAAACAATCAAAAGGGTTTCTCAAATATGTAGTTAAGTAGATATTGGCTGGATAATATTGGCGATCTGCGGCGCTGATCGCCTACTATCAGGTGATCCGTCTTCTCGTTTGCCCCCTGTTCCATAAAAAAACTGACTTCTTCTTAGCCACTTTTTTTTAGACACACGTTGGTCGTCGTCATGTAGTGCCCAATTTTTCTTCTTCCCAATCTTCCCAATCATCAAATACCTAAGATAAATCCTTAAATCCCAAACCTTGAAAAGGTCGGCAACGCATTTGTATCTCGTTGTAACTCTAGTATAGCCCTCTGGTATAGAAGTTCGCGCTGCAGGTGACTATGACGTGGTATCTGGTCGTCTGAAGATGTATAGTTGTAGAAATGGGTATAGTAATATGTAGGATGGTACCGTAGATGCCGCGCAGTATAGTAATATGTAGGATGGTACCGTAGATGCCGCGCAGTATAGTAATATGTAAGATGGTACCGTAGATGCCGCGCAGTATAGTAATATGTAGGATGGTACCGTAGATGCCGCGCCACGTGTGGCAGCGCCTGTGCGTGGTGTGGGGCGCGGCGCCGGGCGGGGGCGGCGGGCCGCGCGACGTGCAGGCCGCGCAGTATAGTAATATGTAGGATGGTACCGTAGATGCCGCGCAGTATAGTAATATGTAGGATGGTACCGTAGATGCCGCGCCACGTGTGGCAGCGCCTGTGCGTGGTGTGGGGCGCGGCGCCGGGCGGGGGCGGCGGGGCGCGCGACGTGCAGGCCGCGCAGTAGTAGTAAATGTAGGATGGTACCGTAGATGCCGCGCCACGTGTGGCAGCGCCTGTGCGGGTGTGGGGCGCGGGCCGGGCGGGGGCGGCGGGCCGCGCGACGTGCAGGCCGCGCAGTATAGTAATATGTAGGATGGTACCGTAGATGCCGCGCCACGTGTGGCAGCGCCTGTGCGTGGTGTGGGGCGCGGCGCCGGGCGGGGGCGGCGGGCCGCGCGACGTGCAGGCCGCGCAGTATAGTAATATGTAGGATGGTACCGTAGATGCCGCGCAGTATAGTAATATGTAGGATGGTACCGTAGATGCCGCGCCACGTGTGGCAGCGCCTGTGCGTGGTGTGGGGGCGGCGCCGGGCGGGGCGGCGGGCCGCGCGACGTGCAGGCCGCGCAGTATAGTAATATGTAGGATGGTACCGTAGATGCCGCGCAGTATAGTAATATGTAGGATGGTACCGTAGATGCCGCGCCACGTGTGGCAGCGCCTGTGCGTGGTGGGGCGCGGCGCCGGGCGGGGGCGGCGGGCCGCGCGACGTGCAGGCCGCGCAGTATAGTAATATGTAGGATGGTACCGTAGATGCCGCGCCACGTGTGGCAGCGCCTGTGCGTGGTGTGGGGCGCGGCGCCGGGCGGGGGCGGCGGGCCGCGCGACGTGCAGGCCGCGCAGTATAGTAATATGTAGGATGGTACCGTAGATGCCGCGCCACGTGTGGCAGCGCCTGTGCGTGGTGTGGGGCGCGGCGCCGGGCGGGGGCGGCGGGCCGCGCGACGTGCAGGCCGCGCAGTATAGTAATATGTAGGATGGTACCGTAGATGCCGCGCCACGTGTGGCAGCGCCTGTGCGTGGTGTGGGGCGCGGCGCCGGGCGGGGGCGGCGGGCCGCGCGACGTGCAGGCCGCGCAGTATAGTAATATGTAGGATGGTACCGTAGATGCCGCGCAGTATAGTAATATGTAGGATGGTACCGTAGATGCCACGCCACGTGTGGCAGCGCCTGTGCGTGGTGTGGGGCGCGGCGCCGGGCGGGGGCGGCGGGCCGCGCGACGTGCAGGCCGCGCAGTATGTAATATGTAGGATGGTACCGTAGATGCCGCGCAGTATAGTAATATGTAGGATGGTACCGTAGATGCCGCGCCACGTGTGGCAGCGCCTGTGCGTGGTGTGGGGCGCGGCGCCGGGCGGGGGCGGCGGGCCGCGCGACGTGCAGGCCGCGCAGTATAGTAATATGTAGGATGGTACCGTAGATGCCGCGCAGTATAGTAATATGTAGGATGGTACCGTAGATGCCGCGCCACGTGTGGCAGCGCCTGTGCGTGGTGTGGGGCGCGGCGCCGGGCGGGGGCGGCGGGCCGCGCGACGTGCAGGCCGCGCAGTATAGTAATATGTAGGATGGTACCGTAGATGCCGCGCAGTATAGTAATATGTAGGATGGTACCGTAGATGCCGCGCCACGTGTGGCAGCGCCTGTGCGTGGTGTGGGGCGCGGCGCCGGGCGGGGGCGGCGGGCCGCGCGACGTGCAGGCCGCGCAGTATAGTAATATGTAGGATGGTACCGTAGATGCCGCGCAGTATAGTAATATGTAGGATGGTACCGTAGATGCCGCGCCACGTGTGGCAGCGCCTGTGCGTGGTGTGGGGCGCGGCGCCGGGCGGGGGCGGCGGGCCGCGCGACGTGCAGGCGCGCAGTATAGTAATATGTAGGATGGTACCGTAGATGCCGCGCCACGTGTGGCAGCGCCTGTGCGTGGTGTGGGGCGCGGCGCCGGGCGGGGGCGGCGGGCCGCGCGACGTGCAGGCCGCGCAGTATAGTAATATGTAGGATGGTACCGTAGATGCCGCGCCACGTGTGGCAGCGCCTGTGCGTGGTGTGGGGCGCGGCGCCGGGCGGGGGCGGCGGGCCGCGCGACGTGCAGGCCGCGCAGTATAGTAATATGTAGGATGGTACCGTAGATGCCGCGCCACGTGTGGCAGCGCCTGTGCGTGGTGTGGGGCGCGGCGCCGGGCGGGGCGGCGGGCCGCGCGACGTGCAGGCCGCGCAGTATAGTAATATGTAGGATGGTACCGTAGATGCCGCGCCACGTGTGGCAGCGCCTGTGCGTGGTGTGGGGCGCGGCGCCGGGCGGGGGCGGCGGGCCGCGCGACGTGCAGGCCGCGCAGTATAGTAATATGTAGGATGGTACCGTAGATGCCGCGCAGTATAGTAATATGTAGGATGGTACCGTAGATGCCGCGCCACGTGTGGCAGCGCCTGTGCGTGGTGTGGGGCGCGGCGCCGGGCGGGGGCGGCGGGCCGCGCGACGTGCAGGCCGCGCAGTATAGTAATATGTAGGATGGTACCGTAGATGCCGCGCCACGTGTGGCAGCGCCTGTGCGTGGTGTGGGGCGCGGCGCCGGGGGGGGCGGGGCCGCGCGACGTGCAGGCCGCGCAGTATAGTAATATGTAGGATGGTACCGTAGATGCCGCGCCACGTGTGGCAGCGCCTGTGCGTGGTGTGGGGCGCGGCGCCGGGCGGGGGCGGCGGGCCGCGCGACGTGCAGGCCGCGCAGTATAGTAATATGTAGGATGGTACCGTAGATGCCGCGCCACGTGTGGCAGCGCCTGTGCGTGGTGTGGGGCGCGGCGCCGGGCGGGCGGCGGCCGCGCGACGTGCAGGCCGCGCAGTATAGTAATATGTAGGATGGTACCGTAGATGCCGCGCCACGTGTGGCAGCGCCTGTGCGTGGTGTGGGGCGCGGCGGCCGGCGGGCGGCGGGCCGCGCGACGTGCAGGCCGCGCAGTATAGTAATATGTAGGATGGTACCGTAGATGCCGCGCCACGTGTGCAGCGCCTGTGCGTGGTGTGGGCGCGGCGCCGGGCGGGGGCGGCGGCCGCGCGACGTGCAGGCCGCGCAGTATAGTAATATGTAGGATGGTACCGTAGATGCCGCGCAGTATAGTAATATGTAGGATGGTACCGTAGATGCCGCGCCACGTGTGGCAGCGCCTGTGCGTGGTGTGGGGCGCGGCGCCGGCGGGGCGGCGGGCCGCGCGACGTGCAGGCCGCGCAGTATAGTAATATGTAGGATGGTACCGTAGATGCCGCGCCACGTGTGGCAGCGCCTGTGCGTGGTGTTGGGGCGCGGCGCCGGCGGGGCGGCGGGCCGCGCGACGTGCAGCCGCGCAGTATAGTAATATGTAGGATGGTACCGTAGATGCCGCGCCACGTGTGGCAGCGCCTGTGCGTGGTGTGGGGCGCGGCGCCGGGCGGGGCGGCGGGCCGCGCGACGTGCAGGCCGCGCAGTATATAATAAGTAGGATGGTACCGTAGATGCCGCGCCACGTGAGCGCCTGTGCGTGGTGTGGGCGCGGCGCCGGGCGGGGCGGCGGGCCGCGCGACGTGCAGGCCGCGCAGTATAGTAATATGTAGGATGGTACCGAAGCCGCGCAGTATAGTATATGTAGGATGGTACCGAGATGCCGCGCCACGTGGCAGCGCCTGTGCGTGGTGTGGGGCGCGGCGCCGGGCGGGCGGCGGCCGCGCGACGTGCAGGCCGCGCAGTATAGTAATATGTAGGATGGTACCGTAGATGCCGCGCCACGTGTGGCAGCGCCTGTGCGTGGTGTGGGCGCGGCGCCGGGCGGGGGCGGCGGGCCGCGCGACGTGCAGGCCGCGCAGTATAGTAATATGTAGGATGGTACCGTAGATGCCGCGCCACGTGTGGCAGCGCCTGTGCGTGGTGTGGGGCGCGGCGCCGGGCGGGGGCGGCGGGCCGCGCGACGTGCAGGCCGCGCAGTATAGTATATGTAGGATGGTACCGTAGATGCCGCGCCACGTGTGGCAGCGCCTGTGCGTGGTGTGGGGCGCGGCGCCGGGCGGGGGCGGCGGCCGCGCGACGTGCAGGCCGCGCAGTATAGTAATATGTAGGATGGTACCGTAGATGCCGCGCAGTATAAATATGTAGGATGGTACCGTAGATGCCGCGCCACGTGTGGCAGCGCCTGTGCGTGGTGTGGGGCGCGGCGCCGGGCGGGGGCGGCGGGCCGCGCGACGTGCAGGCCGCGCAGTATAGTAATATGTAGGATGGTACCGTATGATGCCGCGCCACGTGTGGCAGCGCCTGTGCGTGGTGTGGGGCGCGGCGCCGGGCGGGGGCGGCGGGCCGCGCGACGTGCAGGCCGCGCAGTATAGTAATATGTAGGATGGTACCGTAGATGCCGCGCAGTATAGTAATATGTAGGATGGTACCGTAGATGCCGCGCCACGTGTGGCAGCGCCTGTGCGTGGTGTGGGGCGCGGCGCCGGGCGGGGGCGGCGGGCCGCGCGACGTGCAGGCCGCGCAGTATAGTAATATGTAGGATGGTACCGTAGATGCCGCGCCACGTGTGGCAGCGCCTGTGCGTGGTGTGGGGCGCGGCGCCGGGCGGGGGCGCGGGCCGCGCGACGTGCAGGCCGCGCAGTATAGTAATATGTAGGATGGTACCGTAGATGCGCGCAGTATAGTAATATGTAGGATGGTACCGTAGATGCCGCGCCACGTGTGGCAGCGCCTGTGCGTGGTGTGGGGCGCGGCGCCGGGCGGGGGCGGCGGGCCGCGCGACGTGCAGGCCGCGCAGTATAGTAATATGTAGGATGGTACCGTAGATGCCGCGCCACGTGTGGCAGCGCCTGTGCGTGGTGTGGGGCGCGGCGCCGGGCGGGGGCGGCGGGCCGCGCGACGTGCAGGCCGCGCAGTATAGTAATATGTAGGATGGTACCGTAGATGCCGCGCAGTATAGTAATATGTAGGATGGTACCGTAGATGCCGCGCCACGTGTGGCAGCGCCTGTGCGTGGTGTGGGGCGCGGCGCCGGGCGGGGGCGGCGGGCCGCGCGACGTGCAGGCCGCGCAGCGCCGCCTGCACCGCCTGCTCGCCAAGATGGCGCAGCTGGAGCTGCAGCCGCACTCCTTCTACTTCATATAACTACTGCAGTGGGATACAAATATGAACAGTCTGCATTGAGAATTGGTAAGTAATCCTTTGAAATAAGTCTTTGTACTTTGTGTCATAGGTAATGACTAGGTTAGATAATGTTCATGCGAGTTTCCTAATAGTTACAGATGCACTTACCTAGTTTCGTAGACATTTATTGTTAAATTATAAGATTTCTTTCCATAAAATGTAAATTGAAAAAAGTTCTGTCCATAGGCCCTCCAAAGGCACTTTGAAACTGGTATTCAGTACGTTATTCATCACAATGCACTAAAATATGTTTTTCCCATAGGTATTACAAAAGAACGAGTGTCCAGTTTGCTGGTCGCTGTATACGTACGTACTCATAGTATTAATAAATACTGTAACTATCTTACAGTAACGGAGTTTACACGTCTGAATTATGATGTATATAGTAGTATTTTGATTTTGATTGACGTGTAACCAGTACAATTATACTAATGATTTTGTACCCTATTAATGAAAATGTTTAAATGTGAATGCTCAATCGTTCGTTTCTCGTAATTAAGATATTCTTGATGTGCCCAAAATTGAAAATTATGAATTTATATTGGTATATTTATACTTCTAACTTTTAATATCATCGTGTCACTAAACATTATTTCAGCCAAATTTTTAAAGCGGCCAAATAGTGACTTTTACGTAAACGGTTGTAATGTCTTAACCGTTGTTAAGATCTGAATTGCCCACACTAGGTATCTTCTTCACTTCTATCAGCTTAGTCGGCATTTCTTCTCAGAGTAGTCAGTTAGGAGATGCCAGCCCTCATCTAGTAATTTAAAGACATAAAGTGTGACTTTATAACCTATTTGCAGAAATAAATGTCATTTATCATTTAGTATGAAGCGACTGTTTTCTTAGCGTGCCATTTATAAGATTTAAAATAATGATCCGAAATCATTATGACTTTCTGATGCCAGTTATGACCACACTACGTTACGTGGTAGAGCTAAGCTGCGCCTGCAGCTCGCATTGGGCAGGCTCGACCGGGGAAGTACCACGCTCTCACAGCACTAGCGCAGCGTCAGCGTCGAGCTGAAGTTGTGCCTGGTCAGTGATGAGGACCGGAATGCCCAGCCCCCTCCTCGAATCCTCGCAGGAGGGAACGACCTATTCAAGATACTAAGCGTAGTACCCTATAGACTGAGCACCCAGATCATCTATGGGTCACTTCTGTAAAGGTCCATTGTCTAGCAGCGGACTTCACGAGCTGTTGAGGTAAATACGGGTGTCTCTAAAAGTTTGGATCACATTGAACAGATGCATAAGGGGGGTCAATTTTCGAACGTTTTGCATGTAATCATGTTCATTGATTTTTAACGATTCAAAAGTTATGACCGATTTTCGTTTTGTTAAGTTATTCGATAAAGTGCTCAAAGAAACGATCATAAATAAGAAATTACCTATTATCAATGTAGTCATTTTATCTATGTATATTTAGGTATTGTATAAAATGGGGTTCTAAAATTAGAAATGCCATTTTTTACAACATCTAGAAATAAAAACACTACATTGATGATCCGGACAAATAAAGTCACACTCGTTCCGCATGAGGGTGCGGGATCAAAATCTGGCAGGTACCAATATAACTATTTTTTAGTTATATTGTGTACCTTCTAAGATAATTTACACACCACTTATTAACGGTGAAGGCAAACATCGTAAAAAAACCTGGAAACAATGCGAATTGGCGATTTGAAACTTATAATTTCAAATTGTATAAGTTTCGAATTGCCATTACGCCTTGAGTAAGAGTGGTGTTTAATACTCAATCTTTGTCCTTGTAAGAAAAGGCTTTTTCTTAGCAGTGGGACAATTACAGACTGAGGATGGTGAATCTTAATGCTTTCTTCTTTACGATCGTTTCTTTGAGCCCTTTTATAAGTAATAGAACAAACCTAAAGTTGATCCAAACTGTAAAGAATTCGACGAACATGCTCAGATGCAAACAGGTTGGAAATGATTTCCCTATACCTGTTCAGTTTGATCCACACATTTAAGGACACTCGGTATAAATCACAGCGCGCGATTACATCAATTTAAAAATTATATGGGGCGCTACGAGTAACTTGAATAGGTCGCATTATCTACCTCACATTGCAACTAAACAGTCGTGTCCACAACATTTGGTAACTTACAACAATTCATAGCCTAAACATTCCCAGTTACAAAACAAGAATAGAATAGGTTGCTTATGGGCCGACGTGCTCCATCGTAGGCTGCATCATCGCTTACCACCAGGCGAGATAGTGGTCAAACGTCGGCCCCTCAAATATATAAAAAAAGAAACGAAAGCTGAACATACTGCAAATGAGCAGCCATTTACAAAGACTACGTTTACGTTTAGGCTAAACGACAATGCAATGTGAGGTATAGCTTAGATTAGATAGCTTAAGCAAGAGAGGTAAGCATTAATCGCGATTTGGCTAACACCGCTTATACACAAAGATTGGAAGTCTTTACTAACGGACTATGTGACACTACATAATTCTATAGTGGTAACACGATGCATACTGTAACTTGTAACTCGACGTATTCCTCGGGAGGTGATAATACAACTAATTACCTACAAAATTAGCTCTGAGGACTCTGGTCCGTAAGTGGCATATTTTTATATCAGAAAGTTGTTTACAGATTAATTTTACTACATTGATTAAGATTATGAAGCTATAAGTTAATCAAAAGATTTCATTTAATTATGTTCTTTTATAGGGTGACTTGTAACTCGATGTATTCCTCTCGGGAGGTGATAATACAACTAATTTCCTACCAAATTAGCCCTGAGGTGTCTGGTCCGAAAGTGGCTAGTTTCTGAGATATTCAACATGTTCGTTTTTGGTGAATAAATCCCGGATCGAACTTCAAAAACATGAATAAATAAAAAAGTACTGGTTTGATTTAAGTGATTTTCATTTGTTGTCAGTACATCAATAAACATTTATTAATGCTAATACTCGCAGAAATATGATTCGTTTTAAAATAGCAAGTAAATTAGTAACAAATTTTTTTTTGACACACTAATTTGGTCGATAGAAAATTGCATTTAGCTAAAAAAAAAATATTACACTAATCGTCCAAACTATTAAAAAACTTCCTTGGTTCATTTGCTACCCAAAACAATTAAATTATTTTTAAAATTCTCAAAAATAAATAAATGACTTAATTATAAGTTAAGTGTAAAGATAACGGGTAATCATAATTCCATTTAATCATGTTTGCAAATGATTAAATGAATATGAATGAATGAATGAATTTTAAAAACATCATTTTTTACACAATTTTGTTCGAAGTGACCTATACTTTCACTTTGAACAAAATTTTGTAAATAATGATTTTTTAAATTGCCCGTTTTCCTTTACACTTAACTTCAAGTAATGAATTCAGTTTTGAGAATTTTATAAATAATTTAGTATTATTGGGTAGCTAATAAACCAAGGAAATTTTTTTAATAGTTTGTACGCTTGGTGTAATATTAATTTTTTAAGCTAAATGCAGGTTTCTATTGACCAAATTAGTGGCTCAAAACAAAAATTCATACTAATTTACTTGCTGTTTCAAAACTAATGATATTTCTGCCAGTATTAGTATTCATAAATGTTTATTGATGTACTGACAACAAATGAAAATCACTTAAATCAAACCAGTACTTTTTTATTTATTGATGTTTTTGTAGATCGATCGGGATTTTTTCACCGAAAATGTTGAATATCTCAGAAACTAGCCACTTTCGGACCAGAGACCTCAGAGCTAATTTTGTAGGAAATTAGTTGTATTATCACCTCCCGAGAGGAATACGTCGAGTTACAAGTCACCCTATAAAGGAACATAGTTAAACGAAATCTTTTGATTAACTTATAGCTTCATAATCTTAATCTGTCAAACACCAAGCGGTCACCGGTGACCGCGACCTATTGTTCTTTAATTGTGTCTATAAAACCGGTACTCGACGAGTTAATCAATGTAGTAAAATTAATCTGTAACCTAAACAATTTTCTGATATAAACATATGCGAAGTATATATCTCCAACGAACCAACTAATCAGCGCCGAATGCGGTCTTGTTTCGATCTCAGTAACGTAACACAATCTTGTACTAAACCCTCAGTACCATCAACTAACAGAATACTCGTGTGAAACTGAACGATCAATGCAAAACGGTCGCCTGGAAACCTCCCTTCACGTGGTAGAGCCAAGCTGCTTTAACTGCCAGCTCGCAATGGGTAGGCTCGACCGGGGAAGTACCACGCTCTCACCATGATACACCAGCATAGCAAAAGGCTTCTGAAGCCGGAGCTGTGTTGGTGGGTGATGAGGTCCGGAATGCCCAGCCCCCTTCTCCAAACTTCGGAGAAAGGACCGGCCTATTCAAGATACTAACCGTAGCACCCCGCGTTGACGATCACAGATCCTGAAAAAGATGCCAGGTTCTACGAGTAACTTGAATAGGTCGTTTTATATTTACCTCGTATTGAAATTGGGTAGTTTCCTTAATAAAAAAATTGTTTCGACTTTTCAATACGATAAAAAATACCTTATTATCACGTTATTATAGAAAAGTTTAATATAAGTATGCTATTTGATGCAGTCTACTGCGACATTACAACACGCTACCTCACACAAAATTAAAAGAAATGAATAGATAATCATATATAACACATTGGAAACTGCCCTTTAAGCGGTGCAACATCATATAAATATGTATTCCTTACATAAGTATATAGTATATGTTTATTTGTTAACAATGCGAGGTTAAGCACCGTTATAACGTTACCATTACACGGTCGGTAACATATTGAATTGATAATGATAACAGTTTAAATAACTCAGTTTTATTCCTACCGGATTAAAATATTAAATTACTTGAAATACTGGGATTTTAGTATAGAAGATACAGGTTTATATTCAAATTAACTATCAATCATCACTAAAGAAAATAAAACAAATGTATGGCGTTTATTATCATGCGAATCCCAGGTTTGATCCTGAAACGGAGAAACTGTGGTCTAACGTTCCTCCGATTTCATGGAACTTACTTTGTGTCACAGCTTACCATTCAGGATATTTTAATATAATGATTTATATAAATATTCGTTTCAAATGTAATGTACTGTTATAAATCATGAGACGATTAGTTGGAAATTATTTGCTTTCAATGCAAATAATTTGATGCGTAGGGATCGAATGAAGGGTTTTTTCTAAAACTCTAGAGATGAAACGGAATTAGTGTAAGAAAAAAAAAACAAAAAAATCACATTCCTGATAAACTCTCAGGTTTGCAAAAAAAATCAAAAAAGTTCTTAAAAACACTAAAAAACAATAAAAACTGAAGAAAAATAATAAAAAAAAACAAAAAATATAGAAACCTAATAAAAAAAGTTTTAAAAGGATGAAAATAACAAAAAAAAAAATACAAAAAATATAGGAAATACAAAAAAAGAAATGATAGTATAAGATGTAAATAATAATATATCGGAACATGTTCGTCTATAATTAAATAAGTTGTAATTAAGATTAGTAAAGTAAGGATCACCAAGCTACCACTGAAAGCACTGCCAATAAGTGTATTAATTTTAACTTAGTATAAAATAATATAAAAATAATGTTAGATAATTGTAGAAACACTTTAAGAGTGTCGAATCAAAAACTAAATGTAAGTTGTAAGTATGTTTGTATGTCTGTAAATATGAATGAAAATGAATGCTCCAAGTACGCGACGCTTCTTAAGTCCAGCCGGTAATTACCGAGACATCATTATTGGACTAGATTTTTCAATTCTTTATTGCAATAACATTATCAAACAACAAAATGTCGATGAGAAGTAAAAACGTAATAGTTACTGGTTACAAAATAGCGTATTGAGTTGAACTATCTTCTCCAGTATCATGTTTAGTTAGTCTGTAAGTAAATCAGCAGTAAAACTATATATTCTATAGACGAGTGACACAGCTACCCTTTGAACTTCTTGGTAGACTACTCGGTAACATTTGATGACAAAATCTTAATCAGAGCATCTTTGAGTGTATTGAAAAATCTTTGTAAAAGGCCAGTGCTTTGAAAAAGCCTAGTGTGTTTATTGACACTCAAACTCCACTCAATAACGTACGAATTGAGCGGTATTTGGTGCGGGCACGAAGTCTTAAACTAGGAGAGCTTCTGCTAGGATCAGTGAGGCGTTTGTGTAAGAGAATATGCACTGGATACTTGCAATGAATAAGGTTACTTATACAATACATCGGTGGTCATATTTTATTTGTTTTGTTCATGGGATATCTATTTTTGCTGCTGAATGTAGGTTTAAGATTGTACATTAAAATGATGGGCATTATTCCTTATAATGTCTAAGATACATGGTCAATCGGCTCACTTATATCTAGTAGATGTACATAAATGTCTCAGTAAAAGAGTTTTTATATAGTAATAGTTAGGTTGTAATATAATTGAGTACATTTTCCTGTGTACCTCATTGTAAATAGAAAGGTTTTTTACACAATCAATTTGTAAATTAAAATCAAAATGAACTTTACAGGTTTTTGTTTTGCACGTATTCGAGGTCTGGTATAGAGAACCCGGTTGCCAGCGGAAGAACCGAATCGTGACGGTCAACGGTGGTAACCTAATTATCTTAGCAAAATAACATTTGTTCAGGACTAAAAGCTGGAGTGGAATGGACATCTATCTGCGAGCTTCTTTGACATATTCGGAGTAGAGGTCGCAGGTCGGGGACAGTTATAGGTTTTTGTAAAAAGGCCAAAGCTGTGTATTCCCCTTTCGGTATGACATCCAGCTATGTAAAAACACAAGAGTTTTGTTTCAATGCAAGATCAGCCTTCGCTATCTATAAGCTAGCATTAAGTGGTAAGATGAGGCTCTTATAATGTGTTTTATATTCTTTTCAGCTGATTAATCTTTATAAAACAGTAAACAACAAACTACCATGCATTTATTTTCATCAAAACATAATTCAGTGGTGTTTTTTTGTCTGTGAATATTCAATTTGGCTGTGGTTTTTCACGTACCAAGACGGTGTAATAACTTATTTTTTAATATTCTAAAGATTTATGAAGAACAGCTGGTTTATTTGTAAGTTTTGTGATATAAATTAGATATAAGTTAGCATAGGTTTTTATATTGTTTTTACCTACATAAAGCAAATGCTGTGACTTTATTATTGTTCTTCCGCCTACTTGTCCCGCTTCGTTCGTCATTATTCACTTGTTCTAATGTGTGTGCATCTTGTGTGAATGAGTGGGGAGGCATGCAAGTATTGAGTCTATCTCGTGAAATAAATTCCACGTTTGTGGCGCCACATCTTTGGAAAACTGTGATAATACTCTAGTCAATACATTGTACGTGCGAATTCTTTCATGCGGTAGAGGGCGAGGTTGTAGAACGGGCGGCAGTGAGGAATGACTGGAGGGATCGTCTGAGTGAGACAATAAACATGTGATACTTACGTGTGATATTGAGACAAGGAGTGATGATGAACGAAGAGATAAGCTAAGTTTTTAATGCAAACAAAATAAAGGTTCGGTAAATGAACAGAGTAAAAACTACTAAGAAAATTAAAGATATGGATCTTTTGGCATATAAACACACTAGCCTATGGGTTTGTATATAATGTATAAGAGTTAAGTTACAGATATAAGTGTAAATATAAATGAGAAACAAAAAGAAGGCACTTTAATACATTACATATTAATGCGATTTAGTGGTTTGTCGGGAGGTGTATCTGTATATATTTTGGGGAAATTCAGTACCATAATATACTTATGAATAGAATACAAGAAAATAGATCTTGTTTGCCGTCTGTCTTCCATTATTTTATAAATTAAAACCAAAATAAATTATACCTTTTCATGTGATTGGTTCAAATAACGGGATTTTGAAAATATACATTTGTGTCCCCACAATGCCCACATAATTACAATTTTGTAGATAGTTACTTTAATAATTAAGTTTAATATTTAAAGATTAAGTTAGGTAATGTAGATATATTTGTGGAAAGTGATGAAACAGCAATGAGATCGTTATAGTTAAGGAATTAATCACGGTTTCTGTACATAGGCGACTCCGTGTTAGGTTAAACTACAAAGATAAAAAAAATCAACAACATAAATATTAAAAAAAAAATCAAAATAAAAAAAATACAAAAAAATAAAAAAATCGAGGAAAACACAAAAAAAAATAGAATGTAAGCTATTAATAAGATATTGTTCGTATGCTACCGGCGACAAATATTCGGAATCTTTATTCCGAATATACTACATTGTATTAAACAACAATACTTAAACTAATAATACAACAATAGTTTTTGAAACAATTAATAATTGTACATAGAATGTCTTTTGCGAAGTACAACGCGTTACGCTACGGCATAGCACGGCTTGCTACGACGACAAAGATTTAAAAAATCTATTTTATGTTTTAATATCGGTATGCATATGGACAATTTATAAATATAAGTTGTACATTGATTATAAACATGACATTCGATCGTAATAGGTTAAACCTTACTCACGGTCTCTGTATATACAAAACCGTGTTAGACTAAGTAGACTAGACCTTAGCGTTAACTTAAATATATAGGTTTAAAGGTATTCGAAGATGTAATCATACAAGATCAACTAGAAATGAACTATCGAATTAATACAAAGACGAAGGTTATATAACTTGCAACGCGTTGTTCAAACGAGATCGTGCTATGCTTGTTCACACAGGCACTTATAAAAATACAATTTGGTCACCATTAAGTAAACCTTAACGTCAGAATATAAATCACCTTTTGATGTAAAATTACTATTAGGTGTTAATAAATATGTACGACGCGACATAAAACGGGATGATAGATTTAAGTATAACCGTGCTAAGTGAAATGTATATATTGCACGTGATATAACATAGGACTAAACTATAACTTTAAAATTAGGAAAATAGAATAAGTTATGTACAAACATAACTATTTCAGGTCAGTTAATTCCGTGCTTCGGAGGGCACGTTAAGCCGTCGGTCCCGGCTGTCTAACCAATACCCCGGACAGTCGTCACCATGCTTTGTCATGTACGTAATATTGCAAACTAGTGTCGTTCTTGGACATCGGTACCCTCTTATTGGGTTGCGGTAGCCAAATGGCATGCGCTAGTGCATCGTGTAAAATACCGAAGTCTCAGGACGGACTAGTCAGTCTTCACACAAGGCAGGGGAATGTCTTCACGGCATACTGACGCGTGTGAATGATCAATCGCTAAGATTTTACACCACTATGGTCGCACGATTATCTCAACATGAGATTTAAAATTAATTCTTACTATCGCTAGGCATATATAAGAGCCTCATCGAACTATATTTATATAGTTATTATAAGATTAGAGTAGGACAAGAGACGCTAAATGTCAAAACTTCTTCGTGCTTCGGAGGGCACGTAAAGCCGTCGGTCCCGGCTGTCCACACAAAACCCCGGACAGTCGTCACCATGCTTAGTCATGTTCTAAGAGAGACTAGTCTCGTCCTAGGGCGCCAGTGTTCCCATTACCTGGGATGCGAAGGACTGACGCTCGCGTTGGTCGTTCCGTGTATCACAATGTCCTGTGTACGGACTGGTCTAACCTATCACACGCGTCAGGGGAATGTCTCGGCATACTGACAACTGTGTAGGTGCCTCTGCACACGTTATTAATTAAATTAATAAAGCCTTCAAATAATGTATTTATAAAGTGAAACGAAGTTTTACTCAATAAATTCCACCGTACTGTTAAAAACAGGTGACATGTGCTGGTACTATTAACTTGACTGTAATAACTACTGTACTGTCCCACTTATCAACAAATTTATTAATTGATTAATACCACGTGTGTTGAAGGATTGTATTTCAAATAGTCATTGGACACTGTTGCTAGAAATGAATATGGTCATTAATTAATTATCTAATATGCTAAAATGACACAACGTAAAAAAGCATGCTTCGGATGGCGCGTTAAACCATGGTCCCGGCTTTTCCGCCAATACCTTACAAAGCTGTCACCATGCTTTGTCCTAGGGCGCTAGTATTCCCATTCC